ACTGTGGAAGATGTTTCGGAAGCGGTCAGAAACATGAAAAATTGGAGGTCACCAGGACCTGACGGAATCCAAAATTACTGGATTAAAAGATTTCATTGCTTCCATGAATTGCTGGCCAAAGGTTACCAGGAAATACTTGAAGACAAACAGAGCCCTCCTGATGGTTTCTCTGATGGCATCACGTATATGCTTCCGAAAAAGAATGATTTAAACATGCGTCCTGAAGATTTTCGGCCGATAACGTCTTTAAATGGTCTGTATAAAATTCTAACTTCCATCTTGGCAACTAAGATATATGAACACCTCGAAAGTGAGAATATAATACCCATAGAACAGCTAGGGTGCAAAAAAGGTGCTAGGGGTTGTAAAGAACTCCTAGTAATAGATTCGTTCATTGCAGCACAAGTTGCGAAAAAACAGCGAAACCTCTCTATGGCATGGATCGATTATAAAAAGGCCTTTGACTCTGTTCCCCACAGCTGGCTACTTAAAGTACTAGATATATACAAGGTTGAATCTAAAGTAAGCAGGCTCCTTTCAAACTTAATGACAGGTTGGAAAACTACGCTGAAAGTTGGAACTATCTGCACAGGGAATCAAATTAAAATATTGAAAGGAATATATCAAGGAGATTGTCTAAGCCCCTTATGGTTCTGTATGGCTTTGTTCCGATTAAGCAGGATTCTTCGAAAGAACAAGATGGGATACAAATTAATCATCAACGACGAAGCTACCACAGTCAGCCACAGCTGGTACATGGATGACCTTAAACTATATGCTAAAAACAAAGACCAATTACAAAGTATGGTTGAAGCCGTTTCATCTTTTAGTAGTGATATAGGCATGTCACTCGGTCTGGATAAATGTGCGGTGCTCCATGTAACCAAAGGAAAAGTTGTTAATATGCAGAATATTCTAATCAATGAAAAAGAGTACATCAGGGAGCTTGAAGACAATAGGTTATATAAATATCTGGGAATGCAGCAACATCTTAAAATTGCAAGAAAAGATATGCAACAAGACCTTCTGACAATGTTCAAAATTAGATTGCGGAAAGTTCTCAAAACCCAGCTAACCGGGAAACAAAAAATCAAGGCTATTAACACCTGGACAATACCTGCTCTCGGTTATAGTTTCGTCATATTGCACTGGTCAAACACCAGCCTACAGGAGATCGACCGCCTTGTGCGAACAACTCTCACACAAGAACGGGCCCACCATCCAATATCATCCAAAGCTCGTCTGTATTTGCCTTGGAAAGAAGGAGGACGTGGTTTGCTAAATATCGAAGAAGCTTGCCGCAAGCAGGAAGCGGCCCTACGCCGATACTTTCTTACAAAAACAACTGAGGTTTACCTCGCAATCTCAAGATTGGATTATGGTCTAACCGCACTTAACCTGAGCAATCGTGAGGTCTCTACAATCGTGTCAGAAAACGAACGCTTGACAGAATGGAAAAATAAATCTCTGCATGGAAGATTCTACAGCAAATTAAATGATAGCTCGATCGACAAGGAAATATCCATTGAATGGCTGAAAGCTGGAAAGATATTCTCCGAGACAGAAGGATTTTTGCTCGCCATCCAAGACCAAGTTATTGCTACTAGATCATATAGAAGGCATGTTCTTAAAGACGCAACAACAACGGATAAATGTCGATTATGCTCAGCGACGCTGGAATCAATCCAACATGTCACAGGTGGGTGTGGAGTGTTGGCTGGCACCGAGTATCTCCAGAGGCATAACAATGTGGCTAGAATTTTTCATCAGGCTCTGGCGGTGAAGTTCAACTTGTTAGATGACAAAACTCCATATTATAAGTACCACCCAAATAAACTCCTCCAAAAAGGTAGTCTCAAGCTCTACTGGGATGAATCGATAATAACTGACCATACTGTGCGTCACAATAAACCAGACATCCTTCTGATAGACATGAGAGAGAAAAGAGCAGAGCTTATTGATGTCGGGATCCCCAATGATAATAATATAAGCTCCACTGTTGGAGAAAAACTGAGAAAATACCAGGAACTGGCAATCGAACTGAAGGAATTATATCATTTGGGGAACGTCACCACCACTCCAATTATAATATCCTCCAATGGATTGATACCAAAGACAACAGTGACATGCACGATGGGATTAAAATTACCTCTTGAAGTGATGAAAGAGGCTCAACACTCAGTTCTCTTGGATACGGCACGTATTGTTCGAAAGTTTTTAAATATCTAAAAAGTAATAGATATTAATCTGAAGTGGCTGGACTTCTGGTCTCCCACCTCAGAAACTTACCCCGCAAAGCGAGAATAAAGAATGAAAATATAATAATAATAATAACAATAATAATATATATAGATATTAGCACAATAATATATCTATCCCTAAAATGTTTTCAATTCGAACCAAGAGCACTAGGTGTTATGTCCGTCACAAGGATTTATATATATATATATATATATATAAGTTTCTATAATTGACAGTTTGATAAAAGAAAAGGCACAATTTTATTATCACTTCAGACTTACTAAAAAATCACAAATCATTAACTTCCTACTTTTCTCATGGGAATCGGGCTATTGTTTATAGTCCCCATTAGGGATAGTGGGGTAGATAATCATGACTTAAGCTTAGGTGTGGGTTTTTTTGTTTGTTTTTTCACAAGGCTATAATTCAAATATGCTGTTTTTCGTAGATGTTCTCTAACGTCGAATCGAAGACCATTAAATATGTAATTATGTTGCAAATAGAATCAGTGAGGAAGATATTGAATGAATGAATGAATTATTATTGAGTATTTGTACTATAACAAACAAAAAGTATCCAAGCATTTACGGCTTTGTTCTTGAAACTATCAAGACCTTGGCAAAACAAGTATTATTGATACAATAATATAAACTAAAGTCCACTATGTTAATGTTAATAAATACAATGTAAATGCTAATAAATACAGAAATACAATAGTCAAATCTTAATATCACAATTATAAATACACAATACAATTTTAATATATAAATACATAAACATTTTTAATATAGATATTTTCATATAATTACATAATTATTTTTTTTGGCTTAAATGTTATTTATCAGTAACTAATTAAATTCTTGGCAAAAGGCATATCTGTATTGCCATTCTACTTTACTATAATTGGATAAACTTAAATAATCTTTTCCAAAATATTTTCTCCTAAGAATAGGAAATGCACGATATTTTCTATTTCATTCCCATTGCATAATAAACATAATTTACTATTAGTTTCGTGATACACCCTACAGTTTAATTGTATTAGTTCTCCTATGGTCTTAAATATCCATTTTATTATTGTTTCGTTATATTTCTTATCCCAATAATTGTTTCCTGAAATATCATGATTCAAGTTTTTGTATATATTAGTTTTATTTGAACTTTTTGCTAGGGTTTAAAACCTATTTCCCAATTCTATTGTCAGTTTATCTCTTACTTTCTGAAAAGGTACGTTCCATTTATTTGTGTTATTAAAATCAAAATCTATTTGGTATTGATTTGTTAAATGTTTTACATCTTTACCTCCGCCTATTTCTTTTTTAGTTATTTCTTTTGCTATTATTTTGGGTAACCTATTATCCGAATACTGCATAATTCTACAAATATAATTATGGTGCGCTTTTATATTTTCTAGATACAACGGTGTTAGTTGCGTTTCTATATGAATAATATATGCAGGTGTATATCGGGATAAATTTAATATTTTTTTATAAAACAGTACTGAACTTTCAACTTTTCTATATTCACAACCCCCCTCCCCTTGTGCGCCATAACCTACAATTGATTTAATTGCAAATTTGAACACTTTAAGTTTTGCACTCAAAATTACTTTTATTATAGGTAAATAGCTTCTTCCATAATACATTAATACTGGTCATTGTTTTAGAAACTGTTTGTTGAAAATGCTTACTGATTGATAAATTTGGCGTCAATAATATCCCTAAATACTTATAACAGTTTACTATCTGTATAGTCTGTTTCTTAAATTTCCATTTATCGCCAGTTTCCCTCCTTTTCTAAATACCATAATTATAGATTTATTTAAATTCCACGTCCTACAATATATTTCCAAATTATTTATCATCTCTTGAAGTACTATAGGGCTTGTGGCCAAAATTACCATATCATCAGCTAGCATTTTAATGGACACCCTCTGTATCCTTGTGACGGACATAACACCTAGTGCTCTTGGTTTAATATGAAGAAATTTTAGAGATAGTGGGGTTGATACTTGGATAATCACGACTTAAGCTTAGGCTTGCGGTTTTTTTTTTTTTTTTTTTTTTTTTTTTTTTTTTTTTTTTTTTTTTTTTTTTTTTTTTTTTTTTTTTTTTTTTTTTTTTTTTTTTTTTTTTTTTTTTTTTTTTTGACTAGGCTATAATTCAAAAATGCTTATTTTCGTAGGTGTTATTCTTTAATGTCAAATCGCAGACCATTAAATATGTAATTATGTTGCCAATAGAATCAGTGTGAAGCTATTATAACATTGCTTAGTAGCGTTTTATTTTTTTTTATGAAAATTCTTTTTTTTTTAAATTGTTTTCAATAAATTGATTTTAAGAAACAAAAAACTCAAAAATGTAAGTATTTTTTTATTGTAATTTATTAGACCAATAAATCGATGCAAGAATTAACCCTTCATTTTGAAATGACCAATTTTTTTTTATGTTTATTTATTTACCCATGGGTATATTGAAAAAAAGAAAAAGACAATTTGAAAGCTCCTTAAGATTTCTTCTTCTTCTGATGAATATATAATCCTTTTGTGTTCTTCCTTTTCGGTTCTGCCAACTTTTTCATTTATCTTGAATGTTAATGATGTTAATTATATCTAAAATAATCCATCACATAAAATAAACTTGGATTGCTTCTCAATGACTAACTCTATCTCTATGCATTTACTTCTCACTGATGAATCTTGATGATATGATTTGTAAGATGATATGATAGACACAAGAAATATATTGTTTTTGCAGTTTCTAACTTTTATCGTCTTCGAGGTATAAGCAACATTTAACACTGATAACAAGACAGATGATATTGAAACAATAAGTACCTGTTGACGTACCTTCTTCGTGCGCACGAATGAAGGTATGACTGGAAGCCTGGAGAGGGCCGTGGCGAAAATCATCATCGATGTCTAGAACGTTGGCGAGAAGGCTCTTTGAAGACCTCTCTTTCAGCTCTAGGGTATGCAGCTGCATCGACTTCCCAGATGAGTCCCTATTGTCTCCGTGGCCAGGTCTCCTCATTCTCAGGACGCAGGGTAGCCAATGAAGAAATAGCGATTTGATCTGAAAGACCATTTATACAGGTTTGCCATTAATGTAAGATAATCCAAGTATATAAATTTCGATATAAAATTATAAAAACATAAATAAATACATGTGGTATAGATTTAATTATTAATAAATATAAGCTTTATGGGTTTTAAATATCTAATGATGAATTATATAAAAAAATAAATTCTTCCGTTTTTCAATTTTTCCTTTTATATTTTATTCATAATCCAATGTCTTAATACAGGTAATAGGTCACCACACGGGCAGGTGAGTTTTAACCCTTAAAGGTTTTGCATGATCAATAACGTAAAAGGAAAGGAGCAACCACTGTCTTCCCCCTCCCCCGTCTCAAGAACGGTAATTTATCTCTCCTTCGAAGAAAATTTATTGCTCTCATCTTCTTAAAAACGGCGCAAGACCAACAGTACGCAACATCTAGGATCCAGCTTTGACAATTTCTGTTTTATAGAATTGCTCTCCACGACAAATTATAATATATCCTCAAGAGCAGAACTATTGAATACGGTTCTCTATAGAATCAAATTAAGGCTTCCCATCGTATTTTCTGAATACATATTCATATTTGTTTTCTCACATAAATCCATCATCCCAACAGCTTAGAAAAGTCTGAACAAGGTTCCTTTTATAGGTTGTGACTTTAGACCATTCTCTAGTCTATCCAATTTATCAAAACACTGGTAAATTCTACTACACCACTAGGTAATTACCTTAAAATTAACCAATCATTCCATCCTACTGAAATGGTTTAGGCGATTCTAATGTTAATTTTTTTAATTTTCTATTTCTATCGTCTAGAGTGGTCTGGAATTAAACTAAACTTACGGATATAACTCCACAACAAGATTCAACATCCAAAAGAACTAAATATAAATCAGAAACTAGAAAAAAAATGTTGCTGGTACAGGAGATCTCTATTAATGATAAAACAGACATGTTCAAACTAGAATTTTCACTGTTTAAAGAGAAATTCAAAGTAAACTGCTCAGCTGTTCAAAGAAAGGATAAGAGGTTTAGAAAAACATATGATAAATGGCTGGACAAAACATTTCAGTTACACGAAAGCACAACAACTAACCTAAATCAAGGAGCTTATTGGCCAACTAAATCTTTTATAAATACTCTAGTTACCGAAGCAAAAGAAGGAAGATGGAATAACTGTAGAAATCAGCTTAAACTGAAGAGCAAATATGAAACTCAGAACTTCTGGCAAAGCAATTGCTTCAAACATTGTAAATAATTTCTGTGCATTTCTCTGAAAAGAGCAACAAGATATAGAAGACCTTATGCAGACATTTTAAACCCATTTATATGTTTTCCGATGAAAATTTGTCAAAAAACAATGGGAGTACAATAGTAGAAACTTTCTTGCAGACCCAGTTCAGTGTAAGCATTGGAAGAGATAAGACGGGCCTCTCTAGTTGCTCACAGATAAGAATATATACATTTCTGTTAATTTCTTTCTCTTATCATTTTTCACTTATTATTTTTAATTACTATAAGGTTTTTTTTTAAAATATAAGGATATATTTATTTTACGTCATTTCATCTATTTTTTTTCTTTATTACTTGATATTTTAATTACTTATACGTTTTATTTTATCCTTCGATGGGGGATCCTATAGATTTAAATAGCCCAGAGACTAAATGAAAACGACTTGGGGGTCGTCTTAAATTTGAAGCAGAAAATATGAACGGTGCGATCCCAATTAGCCCATCTTTTTTAATAATAGAAAGATCAGATGATCAAAATTTTCAAAAAGTATCTCCATTCTTAATAAATAAGTTTCTTTCAGGTTTGGTGGGAGACTTAAAAAATGTAAATAAGCTAAGAAATGACACATTACTTATTGAAACCAAAAACAGTAAACAATCGGAAGAATTATTAAAATGTAAAAATTTTGGTGGACAATTTCCGGTTGAGGTGTCCCCCCACAGTACCTTAAATTACAGTAAAGGAGTGATTCGATGTTACGATCTCCAATTTCTAGAGATAGATGAAATGAAAGAAGAATTATCTCCAATGATAAATGATATAATACGTATTAAAATAAAAAAGAATGGAAATGAAATATTGACAAATTCTTATATCGTCGCATTTCCTACACCGAGATTTCCGAAAACAATAAAGATAGGATTCCAGACGGTCAAGGTACAAGATTATATCCCTAATCCCCTACGCTGCTCCAACTGCTTATCTTTCTGTCACCCCTCGAACGTTTGTAAACAACAAAGCAAATGTATACATAATTGGTAAATGGTTGACTGTCTTGGATAATGAAGAGAAGAATAGTTGGGGTGGTCAGTTAAAAAAGAAGGCAAAAATAAATGATAATATTTATTTTTACATATGCCGACGTTTCGACCTGAAGTTCAGGCCTTCATCAGGGCTAAGAAAATAACCAGATAACAAGGTATGAGAAACATAAGTAGTTATGGTAAAAAATAAATAAAAAATTACTAAAAAAATAAATAAATAAAAAAAATAAATAATAATAAAGTAAAATGAGATTGTTAGAATAATGACTAAGAACTAAGAGATAAATAATAATAACCGTTACAAAGTGTGGAATGATGAAGAAGGCATAATCAAAAAGGGGTGACATAAGTGATACAATGGGAATCTTATAATAAAATGTAAAACATAAAAAACAGAAATATGAAGTTATATAAGAAATGAAAATAAATAGTAAAATTAAGACATTGAGAATGGAGTAGTTAGATAGAAAATTGAGAAATTGTAAAGTCTATCAAGATGTACAGACAATGTATAATATAATAAAGAGTTAAAAACAGAGAAAAGGAATGAAAGGAAGGAGGGAAGAAATTGAGAAAGCTGAAATAAGAAAGAAATAAAAGAAGTATTACCTGTCTCCTTAAGTGTTGCAGGGAGAATAAAAGTCGTTGCAAGGGAGGGGGAGAGAGAAGAGATGTGTAGGTGGCGTAAATAGGTACGAGAGATACATTACTCAGAAATATTATGGAAAATTGAACGAAAGTTAATAGAAAGTGGATAAAAAAAAAAGTGGATGAAAAATTCAAAAGAAAAATAATTGTTGAGTAATAAGGGGGAATAATTGAAATAAAAATATATCATATATATATATATATATATATATATATATATATTATATATATATATATATATATATATATATATATATATATATATATATATATATATATATATATATATATATACACACACACACATAACTATACATACATACACACACACACACACACATATACACACACCCACATATGTATATAGATGTATATTAATTAATTAAATTATGCCTCCCTGAAATCCTTCCGGTACTCCTTTTCATCTACAATTTTTCCCTTCAAAATTCAGTATTCCCTTCCTTGTGGAAAAAAGCCACAGTCCGTCCTTTAAATAAAAATTCTAATCCGTCTTCCCCTGAAGATTTCCGGCCAATCTCAATCCTTTCTAACCTTTCCAAACCCCTGGAGAGAATTGTGCAATCCCAAGTCTCCACCTTCCTTGAACAGTCCAATCAACTTGACCTTTACCAATCTGGTTTCCGACCAGGTTATTCCACACAATCCGCCCTAATCAAAATCATTAATGATGTTCAGTCCGCCATTGATGACAAAAAACTAACCGTCCTTATACTTATTGACTTTTCCAAAGCCTTTGATTCCATCAACCACTCCATTCTCTTTTCCAAATTAAAATCATTATCCTTTTCCCATAGTTCTATCCTATGGTTTCAATTATTCCTTTCCCAACGCTCACAAGCTGTCGCTATTCCTAATCAGCCCTTGTCTTCCTATCTTACTTTGTCCGCAGGAGTGGCCCAGGGCTCTAGCATATCTACCCTCTTTTTTAGTTCTTATATCAATGACATCCACAATTCAATCCTTCACTGCTCCCATCACCTTTACGCCGATGACTCCCAAATCTACCTTTCCTTCCATCCCTCAGAGTTGCATGAAGCGTTTGCCAAAATTCAAGAAGACTTGAATCGGATCAGTGCCTGGGCAAACTTAAATGGGTTAAGGTTAAACGCTGCAAAAACTCAAGCCACTGTCATTGGTTCCAAACCCCTTCTCAGGGCCAATACCAACATACCTATACTGCACCTAAATGACCATCCCATTACCTTCACCTCCTCAGTAAAAAACCTAGGCATTTTCATAGACCAAACCCTATCCTGGAAACACCATATTGCTCACATTACCCGACAGTCAATTGGTACCTTGAAACTATTCCATCGCTTCCGCCATCTCCTACCCATCTCCACACGTAGACTCCTGGTAACTTCCCTCATCTTCGCCCACCTTGATTACGGCTGCGTGGTGTACGGTGGCCTCTCGGCAGAACTTGGGGAGAGACTGAAAAGAATTATGAATGCCTTCGTTAGATTTGTCACAGGGGCCCTGAAGTATTCCCGTGTTTCGCACCAGTATGCTGAATTAGGCACATTCCTTTACCAAATAATCAATAGTCATCGTCCGTCCTACGCATACAATCTCCTACAATTCAAATCATCTATCCACACCCTCTCCACAAGATCTCGTCCTTCTGACCTTTACACTCCTTTCCACAGATCTGCATCATTTAAACATTCCTTCGTTGTCCGTTCCACCGCATTCTGGAATTCCATCCCACTAAAAATCCGCCATGCATCATCCTTATCCACCTTTAAAACCCTCTTATTCCAATTCCTCTTCACAATCCAATCAGACGCTGGTTAAATACATACTATGTTATAAGGATTTAATTTTCTTTAGACATTATTTTTTTCTCTTATTTTTTATTGTTTTATTCTGTGTTGAACGTGAATTTTCATCACCACTCACTAAGCATTGTGAGTAGATAAAATTTGTTTTCCTTAAGTTCTAATTTGTTATTCATGGAATGTATTTCAGTGAAATGTATTTTATTTCTAATTATCTTCAACATACTTTTCGCTATGTGTATATATATACTTTATTTTATTTTCTCTTCTCCTAATCTTTACGCA